ACTAATATCGATATATTTTTGTCAAATTTTTATGATATCTTCAAACATATATTTTATTCAAAAATAAAAACATCATCGCTTTCTCAAAATCACATAAAGCCATATTATAACATCTACTGAGATAAAGAATAAAATAAAATATTAAAATCATGATGTATCTCGCTGCATTGCGCGAGTACGCTTCTAGTTTTAAGTATAAAAAATCTAAAATATATTCAAGATAATTATTAAATTCTAACAAAATATTAATTATTATCTTTATAAAAAAATTATATTATTAAATCAAAAATAAATGGTTTCATTATTAAATCTAAATTAAATACTAATAAAATATTAAATTAAAAAAATTACAAAAAAGCAAGAACCTTTAAATATATAATTTGATAATAAAGTCAATACATTTTTTTTTCAAAATTTTATGATGGCTTCAAATTTATATTTTATTCAAAAAATAAAAAAAATCATTGTTTTTTCAGTACCACATAAAATCGTATTATAACACCGATGTTGACAAAATAAAATAAAATATTAAAATCGAGATGTATCTTATTGCATTACGTGAGTACCATTCTAATATATAATAATAATAAAACATAATACATTATTGTTTGCCTTTAACATTTGATGAATTTATATCAATTGTAATTCTTCGGGTATTCAACACCCCTATTAGAAGGTGCCATTAACAATCTCTTATTAATTTAGAATTAATAAAACAAGTAAAGATATAAAAGATTTGAAGAAATATGACAAATACTTGAAAATTAAGAAAAACGAATAGGCAAGGAATTGACATATAAGGGGTGTTTGGGATTGTTTATTTAAAACAACTTATGTTTTTTTTGTAAAAGTGCTTATTAACTTATGTGGTATCAAACCAGAGTTAAATAAAACAGAGTTAAAATTGTAAACTGGTAATAAACAGTTTTTCATAAGTCAGAAAGAATTAACTTATCAAAAACAATTTATTATCGGTTTGACACCGATATAAATAATTTTATTTTCTTATTTAAACATCAAAAAATAACTTATAATCAATGTCAAACTAAAATAAAT